GAGAGAAAAAGAAAAACCACTGCCCTGTATGTTTCACAAAGAGCAACCTCTTGAAATAGAGTTTCAATTGCTCACTAGATTAAAGGGAGTGGAAAACAAAGTGATAAAATCATTGTGTATGTAGACTTGGGAGATGGCTCAGTAGTTGAGAGCACTTACTACTCCTCTAGCAGAAGACCTACGTTTGGTTCTCAGTGTCCAGATGAGTAGGTCTACAACTGCCTGTAACTCTGGCTCCAGGGATCCAGTGCCCTCTTCTGCCCCCCTCAGGCTCTTGTATACACCTGTGCTCATAGTACCACATGGACATATATACAAATCATTAAAAATAAATAATTTTAAGAAATCATTATTTGTATGATCTTATCCTACAGAGTAGTAGTTCTTTCAGTACCCCCCGAAATTCCAAAAGGGGTTAAGGTTGAGTGCCATTTTGTATCAGGTTTAAATTGATGATTTTCTATATATTTAACATTACTTAATATATACACACATGCACACATACATTCACATGCTGGATCCTGTTATGCTGGGTAGAACTGATAGAACTAATGAATATATGGAAAGCTTTTTAAAATGGTGTGTGTGGACTGGGCGTGCTGCATTGCCTTGTTGCACATACGGAGGTCAGAGAACAACTTGGAGGAGTCTAAGTCAGTTCTCCTTCCACCACGTGGGCTCTGGGAACGCAGCTCAGGTCGGCAAGCTTATCGGCAAGCACTTTTACCTGATAAACTATCTTGCTAGCCCCCAGAAGATTTTTTTAAACTCTCTAGTTTAATTTCCTTTAACACTGGTCCTGTTTAAGCAGCAGTTTACATGTAGAATGGTTATAGAATAAAAACACAACGAGGAACCAGCAGTGAACATTGTTTCTATAGAAATCAGTCAATGAACTTAGATAATATTTCAGAGACAGCTACCAGGCTGGGCAGTGTGGTGTACACCTGGAGCCCACACTCAGGAAGCTGAGGCAAGAAACTCAAGCTCACAGTGAACCTAGGTTACATGGAAACCTTATGATTATAATAATAATCAGAACCCAGTCTTCCAGAGGACAGAGTTCCAAGTTACTTGGTTAGAGTAGTCTTTCATTTTTATACCCAAAATTGTATATACTGTATATTTATAAATATTTATAAATGTTTATTTAACAAACTTACATAGCATTTACTAGTTAATCATCTTAGAATCTTTTCAAGTATTACTGTATTATCATATTATGTCAATTATTATCATTCTCATTTGTCCAGCAGGTCAGTTGTTAATGTTCCAAGTTGACTGTTTTTTGTGGTGGTTGTTTTGGTTTTCTGAGACAGGGTTTCCCTGTGTAGCCCTGGCTGTCCTGGAACTCACTCTGTAGCCCAGGCTGGCCTGAAGGCAGAGATCCACCTGCCCCTGCCTCCCGATTGCTGGGGTTAAAGGCATGCACTGCCACTACCTGGCTCCAAGTTGGCTTTTTTTGCATTAATAAAAGAACTTTGAAACTATTTTAACTTCACCAATTGAAAAAGTAATTTAAAGGTTTGAATCCCATAAATATTTCTGGCTTTTAGAAACCTGTGAATGTCAGTACACTTGTGTAGCTATACCACCACAATCAAGGTACAGTATAATTCCCACTCATACCTCCTTCCAGTCCCTTTGAATCATCCCCTCACCCCCCAACCTAATTCCCTATCTCTGTAGCTTTGTCTTCTGGAGAAGATCATAGAGATAGGATCATACAGTGTGTAACCTATAAAGATGACTTCTTGCATGCAATGTCTTTGAGGTGTATCCAAGTTTCTGTGTACATCAGTAGTTGTTGGGTTTTATCTTGAGGTAAGAAGCCCATTGTTGAGTGTACACGAATTGTTTCCCATGCATCATTTGAAGACATTTGGATTAGTTCCAGTTGTTGGTGACTATGACCAGAGCCACTATCCCATTCACAAGCAGGTTGGGGGATCGCATGATGGATATGTTACCCTCCTAACTTGTTGCTGGTGCTGTAATGTTTGTGGTTTTGGAGCAGCTCTTGTGTAGTCTACTCTGGCTTTGAACTCAGGTTCCTCCTGCTTTAGCCTCAAGTACTGTGATTGTCCCACCACACCTGGCTTCCCTGAATTTTTATTTTCTTTTGAGACAGGCTTTATCTGTGTAGCATTGGCTAGCCTGGAACTCTTATAAAAAACTGAACTGGGCTGGAACTCCTGGCTACCCTCCTGCTTTTGCTTCCCCGGAGCTGATGCTGGCATTATAGGTGTGAACCACCATGTCTGTCTCTTGATTTTTTTTTTTTTTTTTTGGTTTTTCGAGACAGGGTTTCTCTGTGTAGCTTTGCGCCTTTCCTGGAACTCACTTTGGAGACCAGGCTGGCCTCGAACTCACAGAGATCCGCCTGGCTCTGCCTCCCGAGTGCTGGGATTAAAGGCGTGCGCCACCACCGCCCGGCCTGTCTCTTGATTTTTTAAATTTTATTTAAATTTAAGTTTAATCACCATTGCATGCATATGATGTCTGTGTGTAAGAGAGAATGTGGTGCTACGGAAGTGGAGACAGGAAGGTCCCAGGGACTCACTGGCTTAGCAGCAGGCTCCAGACTCAGTGAGAGTGTGATCATGATGTTGCATAATGGAACTACATGAAACTGATCAAAATAAGCCTAATCCATCTCACAGGGACCCTAATTTGTATCCTCCAAAAGCATGATTTCCTTCTCACATATTCTGAAATCCCTTTTTTTCACATGGACCTAATTTGGTTCAGTCAGTATATATCTATACCATAAATACAGATGGTTTTGTAACATTTCTATCAGTATGGTCCATTTTTTTTTTGTTGTTGTTGTTTAAACTTTTTGTTACAATAGATAATGCTGTAAGGACATCCCCCTTACATGTCTTTATACACTGGTAGTGGTGAATTCTTCCCTGCCTGGCTCCAAAAGTAGGCACACCTCAGAATTAGGAAAAGTGCTGAACTGCACTCGGGCAGGTTGTTCCAGATTCACGATGTCATGAGATGTAGGCAGCAGTGCTGGTTAACGCCAGAAGTCCGTCAGGTTATCTTGGCGTTAGTCATTTTGGGACCTTAGCCATAAAACGTATTTGTTCGTGTTTGTACATGGATTCTGGTGAAACCACGCCCATTAGCTTATTGATAGTCTTTACCAAATAAACTGAGACTCTGCATTTCCAGTGCAGGGTGGAGACTGGGAGGGGCAGTGGGGCAACAGAAAACCAAGAATGTCTCTTCTGAAAGAAGCCAGCAGAGTAGATTCCTCCCCACCCCCCTAGGCTGAGTAAATCTTTTAAGGTGATTGTAATTCAGTATATGCAATTGCAGTAAGTTCTTTTTGATGTATTTGAAGATTTTATGTTTCAGTAAAGTTGCAAAGAATTACCCACCTGTAATCCCAGCAGTCAGGAGGCTGATGAGTTAGAGGACAGCTTGGGCTACTTAGTGACCCTGTCTCAAGGAGAGATAGGTGGGGGTGGAGGAAGGATGGAGGGAGAGCAAAGGAAGGAAGAAAAAGGTTGGGAAAAGCCACTTGCACTTTATTGAGTTTCTCTATTGATAAAGTCTTATGTAACAGTGTTTCTCAGAATTAGGAAACCGACTTTATTCCTTTTAACTAGATTTCAGAGTTCAGATTTCACTAGTTTTCAGCATACATACTTTTTCCATTTGAAAACAAATTAAACTTTTAAACATTAAATGCTTGAACCTTGTCATAGACTAATTTTTTTTGAACTTTTTTTTTTTTTTTCAGTGCTGAGGACCAAACCCAGGGCCTTGTGCTTGCTAGGCAAGCGTTCTACCACTGAGCTAAATCCCCAACCCCAATTAATTTTGTTTATAACATTTATTGTATACATATGCATGCTATATATAATTATATGGATCTCTATTTAAACAAATGTTATCTTCAACATCAATATCTCAAAAATTATGTTTTAACATTCATAGACAGTTCTGCTCAGGGCAATTTTAAGGTAGGGCTAAAGAACTTTCTCCACCCTTGTGTTCCTGCAGAAACATGATTTATAATCACCTGTGAGTGTGGTTCATGCACAATGCTGCCTTTCCCGGTGTAGGCAGGAGCTCATCTCCAAGAGCACAGGGAAAATAGCCACTTGGGTTTACTAGGAGGTTGACCTAATTGAGAATAGTAGTCAAGAGTCTCTTATATAGGCACTTTCATTGTTAGTTAAGCATTTAAATATCTTGTGGGTTGTTTTGTTCCTAGAGCTAGTGACTGAACCAGGGCCTTGTGCATTCTAGGCAAGTGCCTTTCTCATTCCCGGCCCTCTCTGGTGGTGCTGGCCTTGAGGCAGACTACCCTTGTCTATATTATATATATGAAGCACTTGGTATTTCAATGCATGGAATCCCTGCTGAGGCTCGCTGCTGCTGCTCATCGAGACTCACTAACTTGATTTGAGTCATTCCATTAAGCAGATGAGTTTATGGCGAGAAGGAAGGAAATGGTAACATCAAGTAGATATGGCACTTTAAAATTATATTTTTATTTGTTTTTTGTGAGTGTGTTTGGAGGTCAGATTACAGTTTGGGGAGTCAGTTTTTTTCCACCATGTCGTTCTGAAGATCAGGCACAGATTTGTCAGCTTGGTGGCAAAGTACTTTCTAGGCCCTCTGCAAGAGTAACAAGTGTTTTTAACCACGGGGCCAGCTCTCCAGCTTTCAGATATGGATTTTTAAAAATAATTAATTTTTGGGCTGGAGAGATGGCTCAGAGGTTGAGAGCACTGGCTGCTCTTCCAGAGGACCTGGGTTCAGTTCCCAGCACCCACATGGCAGCTCACTGTCTATAACTCCAGTTCCAGGGGACCTGACACCAGTGTACATAAAATAAAGTTAAATAAATAACATTTTAAAAGTATGAAAATTTTTAAAAATTAATTTTTATTTTATGTGTATGGATTATTATTATTCTTATTAATTAATTAATTTGAGGCAAGGTTTTACTATGTAGTTCTCTCTGGCCTGGAACTCACTTTGTAGACCAAGCTGGCTTCGAACTCATAGAGAACCCCCTGCCTCTGCCTCCCAAATTCTGGGAGATTAAAGGTACTGTATAAGCTGGGTAGTGGTGGCCCACACCTTTAATCCCAGCACTTGGGAGGCAGAGACAGGCGGATTTCTAAGTTCTAGGACAGCCAGGGCTACACAGAGAAACCCTGTCTCGAAAAAACACCAGAACAAATAAAAAAGGGGGACTATATGCATGTTTTTCCTGTGTTGCCTGTATGTATGTCTGTATACTACGTGGGTGGCTTTACAGGTGGTTGGGAGCTGCCATGTGAGATCTGGGAATTGAACCCATGTCCTCTAGAAGAGCAGCAAGTGCTCTTAACTGCTGAGGATTCACTCCAGCTCCATTTGTTATTTTTAAAAACAGGCTTTCATTTAGCCCAAGTTGGTCTTAACTCCTTGTGTAGCCAAAACTGAGGGTGAACTTCTTACCCTCCTGACCTCACCTCCCCAGCACTGAGATTACAGGCTGCAGCCCTGCTCAGGGTCTCCTGCTTGCTAGGCAAGCGCTGTGCCAACTGAGCTCCAGTGCCAGCCCCACTGTTGTGGGGGAAAAGCTTCTTAAGCATTCTAGGAAACAATAACATAAGGACAACTTTGCAGTCCCATTAAAAAAAGTGTGTGTGGGGGGCAGTAAATCTAAAGTACATTTTCCATTTTTGGAGTCAAAAAGCAGAAAACAGGTGTGGCAATTGTAACATACACCATTGAGACTAATGAGCTGAGTGAAGTCCTGGTTTTGTGTGTGTGCTGTGAGTGCCTTGGGCAGAGCATAGCATCGGGGGTCTTGGACCATGTATTTCCCTTAAAGAACTCACAGTGGGAGACACAGGGTTAGAGAACATCAGTTGTCATCAAATGCTGAGGTTAACTCTGTTATGAACACGTAGGGAAGGAGAAGATCTGTCTGTCTGCTCTTTCCAGAAGGCAGGAAGCTCTTCCAGAGTTGGTCATGAAAAGCTTCAAGGAGAAGGTGCCGTGGAGCTAGGATTGGAAGGATGGTTAGGACTTTGTGACAGAGGCGGGGTGGGGAAGGGACTCTCCACAGAAGGAAAGAATGACATGCTCACACACATTACTTTGGGCTTCATTGTAATAAATAGTTTTCCTCTATTATCAAGTTTTAGTGCCCCATATGTTTCTAAATGATGATGTTTGGGGGCTCTCAAATGAAGTAATACTGGCCAGGTGGTGGTGGTGGCATACTTCTTTAAATCCCAACACTCAGGAGGCAGAGGCAGGTGGATCTCTGAGTTCAAGGCCAGCCTGGGCTACAGAGTGAATTCCAGGCCAGCCAGGGCTACACAGAGAAACCCTTTCTCAAAACTGTCATCCCCCTAACCTCCCAAAAAGAGACGTAATACTGCTTTGTGGGGGAAAAACATTATAATCCTAGCACTCAAGAGGCTGAGGCAGGAGGATTGTGACTTTGCTTCAAAAAACAAAACAACCCTAAACAACAAAAAAAAAACAAAATAAAAACAAGTAAATAGATAAAACAAAGATATAAACTCTTATTACAGAAAAATTCTCAAGTATAAACAAGTAAAGAGGGAAAGGTAAATTTAGACATTGGTAGCTCATGTCTGTAATCCCAGCACTCAGGAGTAGAGGTAGCAACATCCAGAAGATCCCCACAAGTTCAAGGCCAGACTGGAGTAAGGTCATCTTTCTTAAAAGAATGAGGGGAGGGGAAGGAAGGGAGAAAGGAGTAGACGTAATATGTCCATCTAGCCAGTTTCGGTTTCACTTACCCATATATGGAATGTTTTGCTTATGACTATTCATGTTCATTATACTTCCCGACCTACAGCCCCTATCATTAATTTGGAGCAAATTCAGATATTATTTGTTTAATAACTTAAGAACTCTTTTTAAAAGACAACTACCAATCTGGGGGTGTAGCTCAGTTGATAGCATGTTTGCCTGGCATGCTTGAAGCCCTGACTTTGATCTTCAGCACCACATGACACTGAGCATAGTAGCGCACATGTAATCCTGGTATTCAGGAAGTAGAGGAAGGAGGATCAGAAGTTCAAGGTCTTCCTTAGATACATAGTGAGCTCTAGGCCATCCTGGGCTACAGGAGACTCTGACTCCAAAAAACAAATGAAAAAGACAACTACCATTATTGTTAAGCTCAAAAACAAACTTTCTGATTACCTTTAATCCCAGCACTTGGGAGGAAGAAGCAGTCAGATCTCTGAGTTTGAGACCAGCCTGATCTATGTAAAGAGTTCCAGGCCAACAGAGTAACACGGTGATACTCTGTCTCAAAATAAAAAAGCAGCCCCAGGAGGAGGGGGTGCTGCAGGTGGATTAATCCTTTTAAGTCCCTTTAGGTCTCTAGGCTGGTTGATTCTGGTGCCTCTCCTTACTGCCCCTTTACAGTTCTTTTGTTGAAGAATCCAGTCATTTGCTGTGGAGTTTCCTATAGCCTGAATTTCGCTGATTACATCCATTTGATGTCATGTGACATACTCCTCAATTCTTTTTATGGCCCACAATTTGGTTTTAGCTCTCCATGCTTGATCAGATTACAGTTCAATTCTTGCCTGCCATGGAGGAAGATTATTTAATAGGCAATAACATGCAATTCTAACAGGAAACATTGTTTCTTTCTTGGTATTATTATCCAGCCCTTGATTAACATTGCCTAGGTATTCATTCATCAGGAGTTGCAGAACAATATGCAGTTGTATAATTCATTGATTAGTAGAATACTAACAGATGTCTCCCTTTCCGGTGGTGATGTCCTCCCTACAAGACTATCCCTCTCCAGAAGAGGAGAAAAGGAAACACAAGGAAAGCGCCTGGTGAGAGCCCCAATTCCTGCTTTATGAATGTGAAATACCCAGGGTGCTGTAAAAACTCCACGGTCTTTAGCCATGCACAGATGGTGGGTGGTCTTGTGCGTTGGCTGCTCCACTGTGCTCTGTCAGCCCACAGGGAAGAGTGTGGCTGACAGAAGGGTGCTCCTCCAGGAGGAGGCAGCACCAAAAGTGCCTGATGTGAGATGAGTGGGAGCCGTCCCAAGAGACATACTTCGGATTGAAAAAATTCTAGTCAGGTGTACTAGCTCATTCTGTAAGCCCAGCCGAGAAAGGCTGAAACAGGGGAATGCAAGTTTGAGGCCAGCCTGGGCTACATAGCAAGACCTTCTCTCTAAATTAATTGAGGATATTAATTTATTTCCAAACTGCACGAAACAACATCCATTCTGGGTAGTACTTAGAAATTCCATTTCTTAAGAGAAATGCCTGTCTCCAAAAAGAGCTACGTGCCTCAAGGTTTTATAATATGTAAAGTTTTGAGCTTTAAAAGTTATACCTAGCCAGGTGGTAGCGGTGCATTCCTTTAATCTCAGCACTTGAGAGGCAAAGGCAGGAGGATCTCTGTTAGTTCCAGGATAGCCTGGTCTACAAGTTCCAAGATAGCCAGGGCTACCTAGAGAAACACTGTCTCAAAAAAACGAAAAGAAAAGAAAAATAGGTACATTTAGGTATAATAAAAATCAGATTTTATTTATTCACATGGGGGGGTAGAGATTGAATTGTGCTTGCTTGTGTGTGTGTATACATACATGTGGAGGACAGATGTCAACCTTGGGTGTCATTCCTCAGGACCATTTACCTAATATTTTGAGACAGTATCTCACTGGGACCCAGCACTTGTTGATCATTAGGTTATGCTGTCTGGCCAGTGAGCTCCAGAGACCATCCTGTCTCTGCCTCTTTAGTACTGAAATTATAAACATGCACCAGCTCTTTTTGTTCGTTTATTTTATTATTTTTTTTTCAGACAGGGCTTCTATGTAACAGCTCTGGCTGTCCTGGAACTTGCTCTGTAGACCAGGCTGGCCTTGAACTCACAGAGATCTACCTGCCTCTGCTTCCCAAGTGCTGGACTAAAGGTTAGTGCTCCCACCAGCTTCTTACACAGGTGCTGGAGATTGAACTCAGGTCTCCATGCTTTGTCAACTGAGCTTTCACCTCAGTCCCCACAGACTTGAGTCTTGATTCTAGCAGAGGTTTGGTTTCATTATGTAATAGGTGTGTGTGTGTGCGTGTGTGTGTGTGTGTGTGTGTGTGTGTGTGTCACACACACACACACACATACACACACATATACATATAACAAGTTATCTAAAATAATGTTTTATATAATTTGAGAAAACTCATACATAATTAGTTGTTCTGTATTGCAGTATTTGCCTAACATGGTCCAGACCCTGGGTTTGTGCCCCAGTACCACATCCATATAGACAGAAAGAAAAGAAAAAGGAGCCGGGCGGTGGTGGCGCACGCCTTTAATCCCAGCACTCGGGAGGCAGAGCCAGGCAGATCTTTGTGAGTTCGAGGCCAGCCTGGGCTACCAAGCGAGTTCCAGGAAAGGCACAAAGCTACACAGGGAAACCCTGTCTCGAAAAACCCAAAAAAAAAAAAAAAAAAGAAAAGAAAAGAAAAAGGAAGAGGTGAAAATCTCAAATAAAATAAAAACTAAAGTTAAAGATAAGCATGATAATCCAGCATGGTACCACATGTTATCCCAGCACTCAAAAGGTGGAGCCAGGTAGATTAAGTTCAAGCCCAACCTTGACTACATAGTGAGTTCAGAGTCCCCCTTGACTACAAAGAGACCTTGTCTACATAAGGAAATGATAGGTAGGTAGGTAGGTAGGTAGGTAGGTAGGTAGGTAGGTAGGTAGGTGAGTAATTATAAGCATGGTGATGCATGTCTGTAATCCCAGAACATGGAAACTGAGGCAGGAAGCTTGTGACTTTGAGGCTAGTCTTGGCCACATAGTAAGTGACGCCAGCTTGGGCTATGAAATAAAAGTTTGTCTTTTAAATTTTTTTTAAAGAGCTGGAGAAATGGCTCAGTGGTTAAGAGCATTTGTTGCTCTTGTAGAGGACCCAGGTTCAACTCTTAATACTCCAATGGTGGCGCACAGCCTGTCTGTAACTCCAGTTCCAGAAGATCTGATGCCCTTTTCTGACCTCCTCAGGCACTAGGCATGCATGCAGTGCACATACATGCAGGCTAAACACTCATACACATACAATAAAATCATTCTTTTTTTTCTTTAATTATTACTTATTTTTAGTATGCATTGGTGGTTTTTTTGTTTTGCCTGTGGAAGGGTGTTGGGTCTCCTGGAACTGTAGTTAAGGACAGTTGTGAGCTGCTGTGTGGGTGCTGGGAATTGAACCCGGGTCCTCTGGAAGAGCAGCCAGTACCCTCAACAGTTGAGCCATCTCTCCAGTCCCCCAATAAAATCATCCCTAAAAAAACTTAAATAAAAATTTAAAAAATTAAAACCAGGCATGGTCTGTGCAGCTTTAATCCCAGCACCCAGGAAGCAGGGAGAGGTATGCGTGTGCTCGTGTGTGTGTGTGTGTGTGTGTGTGTGTGTGTGTGTGTGTGTGTGTGTGTGTGTGATCTCTGTGAGTTCGAGGCCAACCTATTCTACATCATAAGTTTCAGGCCTGCAAGAACTGCATAGTAGGGGCTGGAGAGAGGGCTCAGAGGTTAAGAGCACTGACTGTTCTTCCAGAGGTTCTGAGTTCAATTCCCAGCACCCATATGGTGGTGGCTCACAACCATCTGCAATGAGATCTGGTGCCCTCTTTTGGCGTGCAAGCATACATGAAGGCAGAATGTTGTATATACATAATACATAAATAAATCTTAAAAAAAAAAATGTTTGCTGGGCGGTGGTGGCGCATACCTTTAATCCCAGCACTCGGGAGGCAGAGGCAGGTGGATCTTTGTGAGTTCGAGGTCAGCCTGGTCTACAGAGCGAGATCCAGGAAAGGCGCAAAGCTACACAGAGAAACCCTGTTTCGAAAAACCAAAAAAAACAAACAAAAAATAAAAAAAAAAAAAAAAAAAACTACATAGTGAGTTCCTGTCTTTAAAATAAAAGTAAATAAAAAAGACATTTTTACAAACATAAGTCCCTATAGTAGCGGGTTCGTTTTTTTTTTTGTTTGTTTGTTTTTTTTCTTTTTGGTTTTTTCGAGACAGGGTTTCTCTGTGTATCCCTGGCTGTCCTGGAACTCACTCTGTAGACCAGGCTGGCCTTGAACTTACAAAGCTCCAACTGCCTCTGTTTCCCGGGTGCTGGGATTAAAGGCATGCACCACCATGCCTAGCTATAGTAGCAGTTCTTAACCTTTGAGTTGAGACCCCCTTTGGTGGTTGATTGACCCTTTCACGGGTTGCCTGAGACCATTGGAAAACACAGATATTTACATTATGATTCACAATAGTAGCAAAATTACAGTTATGAAGTATCAGCAAAAATAATTTTATGGTGGGGGGTCACCACAGCATAAGGAACTGTATTAAAGGGTCACAGCATTAGGAAGCCTGAGAACCACTGCCTTATAGGAACAATAGTTTGTTTTTTAAAAGTATTATGTGTGTGTGTGCATGCAACTAAGTGTATGTATGTGCATCATGTGTGCACTAAAGCCCTCAAAAGTAAAAGGTGGTGTCAGATCCCCTGGAACTGGAGTCCAGTGGTTGCTATTTTTAATAAATAGAATAGCTCTGTGATGTCCCCACTGGGAGATGATGTGAGAGGGGCATTATTAACAATTACTGTAGTTGGGTCTAGAGAGATGGCTTAGTGATTAAGAATACTGGCTGCTCTTGCAGAGGACCTGTGTTTGATTCCCAGCACCCACATTAGGTAACTCCAGTTCTAGGGGATCTGCCACTTTCTTCTGGCCTTTGTGGACACTGTACACATGTGGTTCACATACAGACATACAGGCAGACCACCCACATATAGAAAATAAAATAAATCTTGATGGGGGATGGTGAGGCATGCCTTTAATTCCAGCACCTGGAAGTAGAGGCAGGTGGATTTTTTCTGTGAGTTTGAGGCTAGCCTGGTCTACAGAGCAAGTTCTAGGACAGCCAGGGCTACACAAAGGAACCCTGTCTCAAAAAACAAAAAAACAAAAAAAAGGAAGGAAGGAAGGAAAAGAAATCTTAACAAACAGTTACTGTGGGAGAAACAGGCATTAACAAGAAGTAGAGCAGTGAGGACAAATGGCCAGCTTCTGAGACCAAGGGTCTGGGCTGTTCTGCTCACATTTGTGTCTGTGAGACATCGTACACAATAGGTGCTCAATAGATACATGATAAATGTTCATGAAATCACTAATGTTTTAAAGCTTAATAAACATTTTCAGTGGTTGTTATACTTAAATTGTATTTGTGTTTTTGCGTTTTATGAACACTTGTATCTAAATGATCTTAGATATTGGATCTGAAGGTTGTGATGAATTCATTTATTTTTTTTAAGGTTAGGATGAGGATGAGTTGTTTTGCTTACTGTAGAAATAATGCCTGTTTGCTGTAAAGAAATGAAAAACAGAAAAAAAAGAGGGCTTAGTGGGAGATGCCTCAAAGCCTTAGAGACCTGAGTTTAATCCCCAGAGCCTGTAAAGGAGTAAACTGACTCCACAAACTTGTCCCCTGACATGTACACCCACATATACATTTCTTGAACATACAATAATAATAAAATTTTTAAAAGAAATGTGAAAATTGGGGGCTGGAAAGTTATCTCAGCATCTGTGAACATTTTTCTATATAAGCATGAGAATCTGAGTTCAAATTTCCCAGCACCCCTGTAAGAAGCCAAGTGTGTTGGAGCATACCTGTAACCCCAGTGTTGGGGGTGGGGTGGGGGAGGTGGATCCTGGGTTTGCAGGCTTCCAGCCTGACTCCAGGTTATTCTCAAAGGAAGAAGGTGGAGAGTAATGAACAGGACAGCCAACACTTTCTTTTGGCTATC